ATAAGGGAGCTCTGGTGCTGGTCTTCACTGTCTTGGTATAGTGGAGGTCATAGGCCATGGCTAATAAATGATTCCTAGTCCTAGTGACTAAGTGTTGGTGACTCCTTTCACCAGGGGGATAATTCAGTGCACACATATAGAAAAGAAACAGCTCAAGTAATTAAGTTCATGATACAAGAAAAAATCAAATCTAAAAATATTAGATGGAAAGAGATAGAAAAGATTAGGACAGAAATCAACAAAATAGAAATTTAAAAAGCTATACATAAAATCAATGAAACAAAGATAGTTTTTTGAAAAAAACATTGACAGACCACTTGTAAGATTAACCAAAAAAAGATCAGAGTTGCCACAGGAAACATCACAACAAATACCCAAGAAATTCAAATTATTATAAAGGATTACTTTTAAATCTATACTCACCAAAAGGAAAACTTAACAGAAAGGGGTAAGTTTTTACAAATGTACAAACTGCCTAACTTAACCAAGAAGATATAAACCAGCGAAACAAGGCGCTAGTACACAAGAGAAAGCCCAGGCCGAGATGGATTCACTGCAGAATTCTGTAAAACTTTTAAAGACAAATTAATATCAATACTGTTAGAGTAAATTAAGACTCTGCCAGAAAACCAACTGGACATCCAGGTATGAAGAACAAAAGAAAGATTTATTGCCAGTAAGGAGACTAGCAAAAAACCAAAACAAAAAACAAAAAACAAAAAAAAAAAAAGAGACTAGCAAGACCCCTTTCTCACCAGGTAAGAGGAAGTGAGAAGTTCCAGCTATGGTCTCAGATGACCTTTTATAACCTCAGGGATTTGGGGGATCCCGCTCCTTATATGGTCTTAGGTATCCCAAAGTGGTACTCTGTCAGGGAAAGGGGGTAGGGGCTAATCATGTGCTGCCTTTACTACATGGACCTAGTGTTGCCTAGGGAAAGAACATGTTAAGCCATGAGGGAGGAGGCTTCTGGGCTAATATCTACTCCTCAAGCTTTTCCATGAAATAGAAATTGAGTCATCCCAAACTCATTCTATGAAGTCAGTATCATACTCATCCCAAAACCAGGTAAGGATCCAACAAAAAAGAGAACTTACAAGGGGCTGGGAAGGTGGCTCAGTGGTAGAGCGCTTCCCTTGCATGCATGAGGCCTTGGGTTTGATTCCTCAGTACCACATAAGCAGAAAAAGCCAAAGTGGCACTGTGGCTCAAGTGGGAGAGGGCTAGCTTTGAGCTGAAGAGCTGAGGGGCAGTGCCCAGGCCCAGAGTTCAGGCCCCATGACCAACACACATACAAACACACAAACACACACCCACAAAGAGAACTTGAGAGCAATTTCTCTGATGAACACAGATAAAAATATTAGCCAACAGATTCCAGAAACAAATAAAAACATCATACATTATGACCAAGCAGGCTGCATCTCAAAGATACTAGGCTGGTTTAACATACACATACCAATACATGAAATCCAGCACTGTCAACAGAGCCAAGGTCAGAACCACATGATAGTCTCAATAGATGCAGAAAAAGCCTTTGATAAAGTACAACTGTTATTCATGTTGAAAGCTTTGGAGAAACTAGGAATAGAAGGACTATTTCTTTTTTGGGGGGGATGGAGGGGGTCTGGTCATGGGGCCTGAACTCTGGGCCTGGGCGCTATCCCTCAGCTCTTCAACTCAAGGCTAGCACTCCACCACTTGAGCCACAGCGCCACTTCCAGCTTTTTTCTTTTTGCTTATGTGGTACTGAGGAATCGAACCCAGGGCCTCAGGCATGCAAGGCAAGCGCCCTACCACTGAGCCACCTAACCAGCCCAGAAGGAATATTTCTTAAAACAATAAAGGCTATATATGACAGACCAACAGCCAACATCATACTCACTAAATGGAGAAAACCTAAATTTCCCCTAAAATCAGGAACAAGACAAGGATGCCCACTCTCTTCACTCCGTTTCAGTATAGGTCTGGAATTCTTAGCCAGAGCATTAAGGCAAAAAAAGGACACAAAAGGGATTCACATAGGGAAAGAAACTGAACTATCCCTACTTGCAGATGACATGATCTTACACCTAAAGGGGCCAAAAAAAAACTTCACTCCTAAATCCTTAGAGCTGATAAACCACTTTGGCAAGGTAGCTGGATACAAAATTAACTCAGAAAAATCAGTTACCTTTCTGTATGCCAATATTGCACAAGCAGAAAGAGAAATTATAAAAACAACCCCATTTGCAATAGTCTCAAAAAAAAAAAAAAAACCCTAGGAATTAACCTAAACAAAGACATTAAAGATCTTTACAGAGAAAACTATAAAAATCTGAAGAAAGAAATGAAAGATACCAGGCAATGGAAAGACCTTACATGTTCATGGATAGGTAGACTCGGTATTTGAAAATGGCCACACTGCCAAAAACAATATATAAATTCAATGCAATCCCCATCAAAATCCCAATGATGTTCTTTACTGAGATAAACAGTTCAAAAAGTCACATGAAACAACAAAAGACCTATAAGAGCCAAAGCAATTCCAGGCCAAAGAAGCAATGCCCATGATATTACAATACCAGATTTCAAACTCTACTACAGAGCCATAATAACAAAAACAGCTTGGTTATTGGCACAAAAAGAGACCCAAAGATCAACGGAACAGATTAGAAGACCCAGAAATAAAACTACACACTCAGTCAATATTTGACAAAGGAACCAAAGACATACAGTGGAAAAAAACATAGCCTCCAACAATTGGTGTTGAGAAAACTGGGCAGCAATATGCAGAAAACTGAAAGAGGATCCCTGCTTGTCACCATGCACTAACATCAATTCAAAGTGGATCAAAGACCTCAGTTGAAACTCTGAAACTACTGCAACAGAGAGTAAGAGAAACATTAGAACTTATAGGTATAGAGAGGAAGAGTCCCAGGGGCACAACAGATAGGACAGAAACTCAACAAGGGGAACTACATTAAAAAGTTTCTGCACAGCTAAGGACACATTTACAAATTAGAAAGAAAATCAACCAACTGGGAAAAGATCTTTACCAGCAATACATCAGACAAAGGCCTAATATCCAATATATGCAAGAAATTCAAGATACCTAACCCCTCCAAACTTAATACACCAATTACAAAATGGGCAGGGAGCTAAGGAGAGACTTCTCAGAAAAAAAGATAAGAATGGCAAAGAAAACACATAAGGAAATGTTCATCATCTCTGGCAATAAAGGAAATGCAAATCAAAACATCTCATCCCAGTTAGACTGGCCAACATTTTAAATCAGAAGAAATGCTGGTTAGGATGTAAGGAAATAGGACCCTACACTTCACAGCTGGTAGGAATATAAACTAGTACAATCACTCTGGAAAGCAATCTGGAGTATCCTCAAAAAAACAAAAAATACACCTTCCCTACAATCCAGCCATACTACTCCTAGGCATCTACCCTGATGATAATGAATCAGGATATGATAAGGACTCATTGCTACACTATTCACAATAGCCAAGATATGGAAACAGCCCACATGCCCCACAATACATATGTGGATCCAAAAATATGTGGTACCTATGTACCACAGAAAGAATAAAATAAAAGCCATCAGAAATAAAATAATCTCATTTGCAAGGAAATAGATGGAATTAGAACAAATGTTGAGGTAAGCCAAGATCAGAGATAAAGGGCACATATTCTTTCTGATATGCAGAAGTTAGATCTAAAACACTGAGATGTAACAAATTACACAGGATTCTAGATACTCACATACAGTGACACCAAAACAGGATAGTCTTAGAAGAAAATCACAAAGGTGCAATACCCAAGTACCTCTTCATATGTACATAAAATAATATACATACTGGAAGGAACACCAAAGACAGAGAAACTAAGAACTCTTAATTTGCTTTTTTTTTTTTTTGCTGATGATCTGTATTCTTTACCTCATATACAGTATATTCATGTGCATATCTGTAGAAGATTAGAGGGAGGGCACAAAATCTGAGCAAAAAGGGTGAAACAGTACAGCAGTGGAACGTACTGGACATTAATGAAAGTGAGGTATACAACTTGTGGTTGGAGAGGAAAGAGAATGGGAGAGAATGAGTGAAGAGATGACACTGTACACAAAGAAATATCCTTATTACTTGACCATATACTAAGCTGTAAAGCAAGACTCAAAAGTTTTTCAAGGGTGAATCATAGAATCACTGATCACGTGCATTTGCTAAAAGAGATACTAAATCATAGATAAAGAAAATAGAAATATAAAAAAACCAATATATTAGAATTTGTAGAATTTCATGAGGGTATGCTTAAAAATTAATTGTAGCTTGAAAACAAGGATGAGGGTGGGGCTCTGAAAAAAATTGGAGTCAAACATCATTCTCTATAAGATAGAAGAAAAATCATAATAAAGGAAGTAGATATTTTAGTAATAAAGGGCAGAAAGTAATGACAAAGAAAGTTTACATACTGAAGTGACTAGGAAACGTATTCATCTTTTCATTACCTTTTTGGGGGTGCCTCTCTTGGGGCTTGAATCTAGTATGAACACTATTACTGAGCTTCATCCTTTAAGGCTAGCACTCTACCACTTGAGCCACAGCCCAATTTCAGTTTGGTGGCTAATTAGAAATAACGATCTCACAGACTTTCCTGCCTACGCTAGTTTGGACCTGTGATCTGTCTCTTGAGTCACTACAATATCAAGCATGAGCCACTGATGCCTGGTATCTTTTCATTACTCTTAAGTTAATAGCCTTTTTGTAGGCTACTTTTATTAAGAATCATGGAAAAAGTATATTAAACATCACCCTGGGAAATGTATTATAAATACTAGGTATGTGTTTTAGAAATGGATTTATTAACTATAGCAAAGGAGAGAGCAAGACTGGTCCTCATAACTCAAGAAGGGTCACACCTATGTTTCATAATTAGGAGACGATTCATGTAAATACATTCAACTTGAATGACCACTGGCTTTTATCAATGTGTAATTGTGAATTACTCACCTTTTTCTCTTTCCTCATCACTGGCCATAGCTTCCCAATCATCCAATCCAGCATCCTCAGTTTCTTCTTCTTCTTCTGTAAATTTTCATTTAACATACAAAAATCATTTAAGAATATGGCACTTTTAGAAAAAAGAAAACTACGCTGTGACATTAATGTTTTCATGATTTAACTAGGTAAAACTATGCATGTACCTTTTCTTTGGAATTAATTTTTTCAATGTAGTTAGTATGTTATAATTTACTATTAATAAATATTTCACTATTTCACAATACATACTCAAATACCAGAACTTAACCTAAACTGCATATGTAAAGAATTTAAAATTGTACAAATTTAAATGCTAAACTATTCTTTTATCTAAAAAGTATATATGAATACATTATATTTTTAAGAAGAATACATTTCACATCTTTTTGAACTTTCAACTCATACTTTATTAACATAATTTATTATTCATTTTGCTTTAGCCTTCACAGATATATTCAAATAACTATTATATTTCAAAGTTGAAGATACAGAACTATTATTCTATTCTAGGAAAAAAATAAATGTGGTGCTGAAATTCTGGAATAATTTTAATATGAAAAACTGTAATACTCTGTTAGTAATTATTCTCCTTTTACTAAAAATGCAACTAGACAAAACTACTTCTAAGAAAGGAAGGTAAACATGGGATTCTATCTCCCTATAATTATAATTTCTAATAATACTCAATAAGTCACTTTAGGAAATGAGTCTCAGAAATAAATAAGTACTCTCTAAAACTTTTTGCTTGATATTACAAATACCTTACAAACCTTACAACCAATCCCCAAACTCAATTCCTCTAATGTCACTATCTTTGGGGAAGGGAGGAGAGTGTGGGTGGATGTGTGTGCACTCAAGTGCTTGTCCTGGGGCTTGAATTCAGGGCCTTGGGCACTGTCCATGAGCATTTTTCATTCAAGGTTACCATCTTAACACTTAAAACCACAGCTATACTTCTGGCCTTTTGGTGGTTAATTGGAAGTAAGAGTCTCACAGACTTTCCTGCTTTGAACTGTGATCCTAAGATCTCAGTCTCCTGAGTAGGTAAGAATACAAGCCACCAACACCCAGTTAATTTCATTATCTTAACCTTAAGCTGAGGCCTACCCATGTGGAATTAGCATATTCAATTAGGAGAGAAAGGTAAGAAAAGGAGCTCTCATTATTTGTGAACATCTTCAGCCTGTTCTGATCCTGTCTTAAAACTGAATATTCTCTTGAGTTTATACATACGTGATTATGTACTCAACATACCTTTATCTAGCCTATGGTCTTATCAATCTCATGAAGGAGAACTTTAAATTTTTTTTTAAAAAGCCAGAGATTTTTTCCTTACACACACAGTGTTAAATATAAAAAAAAAAAAAAAATGGTGTTAAAATGCAAATTTCTGTAGTTCTTAAATTTTTAGGCCTTGAGATTTTCAACCCATAGATTAAAAACAAAAAAAAATAAATAGTTACTGTTACTAAAGAAAAAAACACATTGTAATCTCATTTGTCTACTGCTCAAAATTAAAAAAAAAAAAGCTATCTAGGCTGGGTGCCTGTTATCCTAGCTACTCAGGAACTAAGAAATGAGGATCATGGTTCCTGACAGGAAAGTCCATGAGACTCTTATCCCCAATAAACCACCAAAAAAACAGAAGTGGCACTGTGGCTCAATGCTGGCCTTGAACTGAAGAATTCAGGGACAGTGCCCAGGCCCAGAGTTCAAGCCTAGGACCAACAAAAATAAATAAATAAAAAGGGGAAAAAAAGCCATCTAGACAAAATATGTATTTGTTTCCAAAATACTTAATAATATCTAAGATAACATGATACAATAACAGCATCTAACAGTAATCAATTGATCCCCTAATGCCACTGGCCTGGTTCAACAGGGGTTGGTGTCTCTTCTTTTTCTGGTACTCCTTGTTCTATAACTTCTACAACAGAATTCAATTCCACTGCTTCAGACACTGAAAAAGAAGCACACATCAAGTTAACAATATTTCTGCAGTGTGTTATTTCTGGTAACATACCCTGTTCAATATGTAATTGAAAAAAATCAGTAATAAGAGCCTATGTCTTGGGTGCCAGTGGCTCATACCTGTAATCCTAGCTACTCGGGAGGCAGAGATCTGAGGACTGCAGTTCAAAGCCAGCCTGAACAGATAAAAGTCCATGAAATTCTCATTTCCAATTAACCACCAAAAAAGCTGGAAGTAGAGATGTAGTTCAAGTGTAGAACACTAGTCTTGAGCACAAAAAGCTTAGGGACAGCACCCAAGCCCTGAGTTCAAGCCCCAAGAACATCACCAAATCAAAAAATAAAAACAACAACAAAATCCCCACAACATCACATATTTCTTCTGCAACATTTATCAGCTGATGCATTATTAAAAAACTACTCTTTTGGGCTGAGAAGATGGCTCAGTGGTAGAGGTCTGCCTTGCATGCAGAAGGCCCTGGGTTCGATTCCTCAGCACCACCTAAGCAGAAAAAGCTGGAAGTGGCACTGTGGCTCAAGTGGTAAGAGCGCTAGCCTTGAGCTGAAGAGCTGCGGGGCAGTGCCCAGGCCCAAAGTTCAGATCTCACAACTGACAAAAAAAACAACTATTCTTTCAACTCAAGGAATGAAATACAAAATCACAAAAAAGTTATTATTGTTGGTTATTAAAGTTAATAACTATTCATAGAGTAGCCCATTTTTTCAAAGTAAAGTACTTTTTCTATTAGCCTCTTATTTAAATTAAGTATGACAATAAACAGAAACAAGGTATAAGAAATTTCAAAATGCAGTTCTGGGAGTGTTATTCGGAGTGGAATATATTGCACAATACCATGCCCATGTATACACAATTGAGTTCAGTGTTTTTTAAAAGACAGTGAATTGAAAGATATGAAGAAAAGCAAACAAAATAGTTTCCAAAACAAACACAAACCTTCTTTATTTTCTAGCTGCTGAGGTGTTTTTTTCTTCTTTTTATCTTCATAAATTGGCCTTTTTTTTGGCAAAGAGTCTTTTGATGGCACTTCAACACCTGATAAATAAACAAAATCTTTAGGCTTATACACTTGACATAACACCTGAGACATAGCTTTTTAAAAGATAACATTCCATACTATGTGGAAATGAAGTATGCAACTTGTGGGCAGGGACAAAGTGGGAAAACTAAGGGAAAATGAATGACAGGGTAATATTTTCTAAAAATAATTGTATTTACTACTTGACTTATGAAATGGTAACCCCGCTATACAACACCATAATAACAACAATAAAATTACTACTTATTTCAAACCAGGTACTAATGGCTCATGCCTGTAATCCTAGCTATTCAGGAAGCTGAGATCTGATGACTGCAGTTCAAAGACAGCCCAGGCAGGAAAGTTCATGAGAATCTTATCTCTAATAAGCTATTTAAAAAAAAATCTGGAAATGAAGCTCTGGCTCAAGTTACCCTTGAGCAAAAGAAGCTCAGGGACAGCACTGAGGCAGAGTTCAAGCTGCAGGATGCAAGCACACACCCACGCACCCCATTCCAATAACCTCAAAGATATATAGCCTAAAATATAAAAGGTTATGCATGGAAAAACTACTTTTACATAAGCATCTTAAAATCTATGTTTCAGTAACAATAAAAATTTTAATAAATGCATTTTTACAACCACATTGCAACAAAGCAGCAGTTATTTCATCCTGTGCTGTTCCCTGCAGCTAAGCTTTCCTCATACACTTGGCTGCTGAGCAACACCATCAGCTCTTTACTCCTAACCATTAGGTTTTTCCCAAAATGTCAATTAAATGCAAGTTTTCAGTCTGGCTTTGTTATTTACAGGGATTTATGAGTAATCCACTTTGGGGGATGATGTGGGTGCTGGGTCCTATGGCTTCATCTCAGGGCCTGGGCGCTGTCCCTGAGCTTTTTAACCCAAAGATAGCATCCTATCATTTAGGCCACAGCTCCAATTCTGACTTTTTGGTGATTACTGGAAATGAGAGTCTTATGGACTTTCCTGCCCCAGCTGGCTTCAAACCGTGATCCTCAGTTCTCAGCCTCCTGAAGAGGTAGAAGGTACCTGGCTTGTGAGTAATCCAGTTTTTGCATATATTAGTATAACATCTTCCTATTGCTGAGGAAATAACACTGTATGGATATACCAATTCGTTAATCCATTTAATAGCTGAGGGACATCTAAGTAATTTACAATTCTGGATAATTTTGAATAAAGCAAATTTGAGCATTTTTGTGTTAGTTTATTTCATGTTTACCCACCATTTCAGAGAAGTAATAAGACAAAGCAAACGTACTTAATTTTATGCTAAACTGCCTATTGTTATCCTAGTACTCATACAATTTTTCATTCTTAATAAATTTACTGTTGTGAATCTTCAACATTATGTATAGGTATATTTTAAAGGTTTTAGATTTATGTATGCTATGTGTTACTAAGTCATTTGGGATCTTAAATCTCCCTAAGGATTAATTTAGGCAATGTATGATTTTCATGTTTTTATAAGCTTCTTGGTAAAAAGATTGTTCAAACCTTTTGTCTATTTTTATATGGAGTTGTTGGTTTGTTTTGCTGAATTCTGAGACATCTTTATATATCTGGGATTTTACATACTGGATTAATCTTTTGTCAAATATATGATTTGAAGGTACTGGCTTTGAATTCCCTTAACAATGTCTTTTGCTAAGAAAAAGTTATGAACCAAAATTTCTCATTTTTCTCTCTGATTATAAAGTCATATCTAAGCACTATTTACCTAATAAAGAATAATCATGAAGACTTTCTCCTATGTTTTCCTCTAAAAGTTTGACTGTTGTAAATTTAGATTTAAGATTCACTTTGAATGGAGATTAACAAAAGGTTTTTTCTTGTTTTTTAACATACAAATGTCCAATTGTTCCAGTACCACTTGTGGCAAAGACTACAAATACTTTACCCTTTGAACTGCATTCACCTCTAACAGGAAAAATTAAGAAAAATCAATTGACCATATATAGGCTTTCTGTTCTGTTGATCTATTTGTCTATCCTTTGCAAAAAACATAGTATTAACTCCTTTAACTTTGGTATAAATCTTGAAATATGGTCTGTGCTGTCCAAATTTGTTTTCCTTTCTCAAAATTATGGCTATTTTAACATGTTAGTCTTTTTAAACATACATTTAGAAAAGTTTATAGATATACAGAAAACATGCTTTGGGTTGACAGCACTGAATATAACAGGTTAGGGAGAACTTAACATAACATTCTAGATAGGCTGGGAAGGTAGCTCAGTGGTAGACCGCCTGCCTTCCATGCATGAGGCCCTGGGTTCGATTCCTCAGCACCACATAAGCAAAAAAGAAAATAGCCGGAAGTGGCGCTGTGGCTCAAGTGGTAGAGTGCTAGCCTTGAAGAGCCGAGGGACAGAGCCCAGGCCCAGTTAGGCCCCACAACCGGACCCAAAACAAAAAACAAACAAAAAACAAAAACAAAAAAAATTCCACAGTCTTAAAATCCATAAACATGGCATCTCTCTACTAGGTCTTCTTTAATTAACTAATTAGTGTTGTATTGTTTTCCATATATACATTCTTTAAATATTAGATTTATAGTTATGTTATTTTTTTCCTTTTTGGATTGCTACTATACATTTTTTACTTTCACATATTGTTAGCATGAAGAAATACAACAAACAGTTGTATTTGCTATCTTTTTTGTCAGTCACGGGTTTTGAACTCAGGGCCTAGGCCCAGTCTCTGAGTTTTTCACTCAAGGCTGGTGTTCTACCAAAGTTCCACTTCCAGTTTTTAGTTGGTTAATTGGAGATTAGAGTTTCAACAATTTTCCTGCCCAGGCTGGCCTTGAACCATGATCCTCAGATTTCAGCCTTCTGAGTAGCTAGGATTACAGGCATGAGCCTATATAGATAGCAGCAGGCTATCTGCTATCTTTTTAATCTCACCTATTAGTGCTAAGGTTTGGGGGAGTCAAAAGGGGGATGGGGGAGTTGAGGAACCAGTACAACACAGTGTGTGGTAAAAAGTAGCAAACTTGACTCCCTCATAAGCTAAGGCTTACAACTGAGTCATTCACCATTATGTGTAATTGTTGTGCTTCCTATGTGTAAGTATCTTCTATCAAAGTGAAGAAGCTACTATTAATATCCAGGTAAGTGAATTCCTTTCTATACCCAGTTTGTAAATATTTATTAAACACTGAATGATAAATTTTGACAAATAATTTTCCTCATTTATTAAGGTAATTTTCTTTTTTTGTTTTGTTTTGTCAGTCATGGGGCTTGAACTCTGGGCCTGGGCACTGTTCCACAGCTCTTCAGCTCAAGGCTAGAGCTCTACCACTTGAGCCACAGTGCCACTTCCTGTCTTCTAGTGGTTTATTAGAGATAAGAGTCTCCTGGACTTTGCTGCCCGGGATGGCTTTTGAACCGTGATCCTCAAATCTCAGCTTCCTCAATTGCTAGGATTACAGGCATGAGCCACCAGCACCCAGCAGTAATTTTTCTTTTAGATTGTCAATATAGAAAAGCATTTTCATTCATTTCAAAATACTGAGGTCATCCTTTTATTCCCAGGATAATGTGCTTTATTATCAAGATAGATTGCCATTGTATGTAAATATGTATAAATATACATATTATTGCTAGAATAAAAGTGCAAAATATTGAGAATTTTTTAGTTCATAAGGCACATTAATCTATATATTTCTTCTCTTAAGTTGTTTTTGTCACAATATGTAATAACAGTAATGCTGGCCTCATAAAACAAGCTGGGTATTTCTGTAAGATAATGTTTATGACTGGTCTAATTTCATCCTTAATTATTTTAGAATGTCCATATAGAGTTTATCTAATTGGAAATTAACCTGATTAATTTAAATAGATATGGCCGATTTTTACAATCATAATGGGATTATTTACTTGTTCCTTTGTTTACTTTGTTTCTTTGCAAGTTTTGGTAACTCATGTCCTTTTAAAAGTCTCTCTAGCCCAGCGCTGGTGGCTCACGCCTGTAATCCTAGCTACTCAGGAGGCTGAGATCTGAGGATCGCGGTTCAAAGCCAGCCCGGGCAGGAGAGAGCGTGAGACTCCTATCTCCAATAAACCACTAGAAAACCAGAAGTGGTGCTGTAGCTCAAGTGGTAGAGCGCTCGCCTTGAGCTGAAGAGCCGAGGGACAGCGCCCAAGCCCAGAGTTCAAGCCCCACAACCGTCAAAAAAAAAAAGTCTCTCTATTACAACTAAGTTTTAAATTTATAGACATAAAATTATTCAGAGTAATGCCTTATAATTATCTTAATACCTTCACCCCTGATAATGGTTTTGATTACTGTGGCTTTTTTTCTGACAATATCTTTTTTTGGGGGGACTTGAATTCTGGGCCTGTGCACTGCCCCTCGGCTCTTCAGTTCAAGGCCAGCGTTCTACCACTTGAGCTATAGCGCCACTTCCAGTTTTCTAGTGGTTTATTAGAGATAGGAATCTCACAGCCTTTCCTGCTGGAGCTGGCTTTGAACCGTGATCCTCAGATCTCAGCTTCCTGAGAAGCTAGGATTACAGGCATGAGCCACCAGTGCCCAGCTTTTTTTTTTTTTTTTTTTTTTTGGGGGGGGGGGGGGAGTCCAGTCATGGGGCCTGAACTCTGGGTCAGGTTGCTGTCCCTCAGCTCTTCAGTTTAAGGCTAACGCTCTACCACTTGAGCCACAGTGCCACTTCCTGCTTTTTTCTTTTTGCTTATGTGGTGCTGAGGAATCGAACCCAGGGCCTCAGGCATGCAAAGCAAGCGCTCTACCACTGAGCCACCTTCCCAGCCCTGACAATATCTATTTTATCGGTCAGTTTTATCAATTTTATTGATCATTTTAAAGAACAATCTCTTCATCTAACTGCTTCTATTATTTTTGTTTTCCATTTCATTGTTTAGTGTACTTTATTATTTCTTTCCTTCTGCTCAATTTAGTCTTTAACATGGAAGTTTAGCTCATGGATTTGAAGCTCTTTCTAAAACATGTCATGCCTGCTCTCCTCTCTGCACTGTATTTGTTCTGTGCCTTTTAACATATTAACATATATTAGCATTTTTACTTATATTTAACATAATGAGTAGTATTTTGGTTTTAGGTCTACCATTTTGTTTATATTTGCTTCCTCTATGTTGTTTCCTTTTCTTTCTCTTTTATTCTCATTTCACTACTCCTGGCTTTTTAGCTATGTTAAGTCTGAATGAATACTCAAAAACTTAAGGACAAGAGATCTTGCTGACAGGCTAGAAAAGTCTACCGTATGGCTCAAGAAATTATCTACCTTGATGAAAATGTTAGGTTGGGTATACAAAGACACAAGATTATTATAACTTTTTGAAAATATAACTTTATTATATAATATGGGGAGTAGATTTCAAATTCCTGTAACTCCAACTTCCTTCTAATGTTAGTTTTGTAAACCTTTTCCTGTTCTTTTAATTTGTATGTACTTCATCTGATCCAAGGTATTTTCAAATTTCCAATTTAAGACTTTTCTTTGACTCAGGGACTAAAGTATCTTAATTTCCAAAGACTTGAGAGTTTTTCCCAAGTGTATCTTTTATTTGGATGGTTGGTTTGGTTTGATACAGGATCTTCCTATTTGGGCTAGGACAGCCTGGAACTTACGTAGCTCATGCTGGTCTTAACCCTCCTGCCACCACCTCCTGAATAATAGAATTATGGGTTCATGCAGTCCCAGCTCCAGATATATTCTATTATTTAATTCTACCTTACTTCTAGTTTTAATATAGGAAAACATATTGCATCAGCCAGGAGTAAGCTCACAGGTTTCAACTGTTGACTGAAATCCCATTCTACCTGTTTCACATTTACATTTCTGCTTTCTATAACACCCTGTACCTCTACCCTCTACCTCTCCTCCACCCTTTCTAGCTGAGAGAGAGATAAGGGAGAGTAGAGAAAATACCCTGCATATAACTAGATGATAGCAGCATGCCACCACACCCAGCTTTTTGTTGGCTGAGGTAAAGTCTCATCAACTTTTTACATGGGCTGGACTTTGAAGCATGACACTCTCATTTCACTACTCCTGGCTTTTTAGCTATGTTAAGTCTGAATGAATACTCAAACTTAAGGACAAGAGATCTTGCTGACAGGCTAGAAAAGTCTACCGTATGGCTCAAGAAATTATCTACCTTGATGAAAATGTTAGGTTGGGTATACAAAGACACAAGATTATTATAACTTTTTGAAAATATAACTTTATTATATAATATGGGGAGTAGATTTCAAATTCCTGTAACTCCAACTTCCTTCTAATGTTAGTTTTGTAAACCTTTTCCTGTTCTTTTAATTTGTATTATATTTCATGTAGAATTTCTTACAGAAAGCACAACTGTCTCATTTTCAAACAATCTGCCTTTTAACATATTAACGTATATATTAGCAGTTTTACCTATATTTAACGTAATGAGTCGTATTTTGGGTCTACCATTTTGTTTATATTTGCTTCCTCTGCCTTTTAACATATTAACATATATTAGCATTTTTACTTATATTTAACATAATGAGTAGTATTTTGGTTTTAGGTCTACCATTTTGTTTATATTTGCTTCCTCTATGTTGTTTCCTTTTCTTTCTTTTATTCTGTCTTCAGGATTATCCAACAACATCCTAATATTCTACTTTATCTACTGGTTTAGCTTATTTACTTTTAGTAAGTGGTAGAAGAATCAGAATATTTATAGCTGGCTTTTCATAGCATACTTAGAAGCAGTATTTACATGGCACATGAGTCACTCAGAAGTCAGTCTAAGTCTTGGTCATTGGTTTATAGCTCAGTTCAGTTTTAGAAGCTTGGCTATGCTTCTTTGGGTCTGTTCTAAACACAGACAATCCCTGATAAACCTAGGAGCTATGTCAGCTTGTAAATAGAACCATTAGGTCTTGGTTCTCCAGCTTTCTCAACCCTGTAATTTCCTTTACACTGTCTCTCAAGAGCTTTTTCCTGGTTCCTCTGGCCAAAACGTGAAGCTGTCAAGAGTTTTATGTTCCCAGATTGTTGGGAAGAGCCACACACTTGGGCAAAAACAGCAAGAGAAAAAGGATAAACAATAACAGAATGTCTTCTTTCTAGGTCTCCTAGCCATAATTAGGTAGCCAAATGGGTAGGTCATTCAATTTTTTTTTTAACAGAATTTTGGTCACCAGTGGCTTGTGCTTGCAATCCTAGCTACTTGGGAGGCTGACAGCAGGAGCAATGCAGATCAAGGCCAGGCTAGGCTAAAAAGCTTAAAGGGCTCCTTCTCAACAGATAGGTGCAGTGGTGATCAATGGTCATCTCAAGCACAAAGGAGGCAGAGATAGCGCAGGATAGCAATTTCAGGCCAGCTCAGGCAGAAAAACTATGTAAGACTGTCTCCATGGAAGGAAAATAAGACAGAGTAGCATGCACTTGTGATCCCAGCAACCACAGGACTCCTAAAAATGGTGATAACCTCAGGGGCACACTGGGCAGTAAGTGTGACCCTATCTTAAAAATAGCGTGAAAAAAACTGGGCTAGTGGCATGGCTATATAATGCTTCCCTCAAAGTATGAGGCATGAGTTTAAACCCTAGTAACAGCAGAAGAGGGAAATGTGCTTTTTTGAAATCTATATTTACTACTTCCAGCCAAACATACAATGATTAATTTCAGTTCTGGTATGTTAAACACGCTACTTACACCCAATGAGTCACTATCTCTACTCTAGATGACAGCAGGAAACTAAACTATAAGATTTTTATGAGGAGAAAAATGAATAATGTCGAAGTTTATTACTGTATACACCAATTTACAAACTAAGTACATCGTAAACTTGTAAATATAGTCCAAAGTATAGTCCCCCTAAGTCCAAAAATGACTATAATATAAAAATATATAAAATACAGGGATTAAAAAATTAGAAAAGATCCAACATATTCTCAGTAGTACTATTTTTACTCAGTGACTATTTTTACTCATCTTATCCGTTGGAAAACACAACTAAATGCCTAATTTGTGGTCCTAAGCCATCATTAACTACTAAAAGAACCAAGACATTTTTGTTAAACAGGTGATCCAGATTTAAGCAGAAAGTATTAGAAGACCTTTTTGGCTGACTTATACCAGAAAGTATAGAAGTCAAAGAACACATGTCATGATGTGAAAAAGTAGTAAGAAATCAGTCTGAATTAGACACCCACTGACCAAAGAGATACAATTCGAGTATGTAAGTTATCTTCCAAAATGAATAACTATTCTTACATTTTTCCTGACTTTTTCACAGAATTTTCACAGAAATTCTTTTGATTCAATTCCACTCTTCTGAACACTACAGTATCTCTACGTGAGAAAACTCCCAGATGGTTCAGCTAATTAAAAGCACCACTTACCTTGAGCCTGTAGAAGTTTAAGGGTAGCTTCAGCTCGAGCTCTGGCTTCTCTCTGGGATTTAGTTAAAAGTTTCCCTTCTTTTTTCAAACGTTCTTTTCTTTCCTTTTCTTTTTGCTTTTTCCTTTCTCTTTTTTCTTGTTCTAATCGTTCCTAAGAAAGAATGTATGTCAGATTTTAAAAATATATTAAAAAATATATAAGTATCAATGTGAACAGCCCAAACTTTAAAGCTCTTTAGATGCATAGTATTGTTAGGAGATTCCAAATGAAAATACTTAAAATGTTATGAATTATCACTAGGTAACAGATTACATAAGTAATCTGTCTCTATATGAAATAGACTTTCTGCAGCTCTTCATGTTAATATTTACACCAAAGGGGCTGGGAAGGTGGCTCAGTGGCAGAGCGTATGCCTTGCATGCCAGAGGCCCTGGGTTCGATTCCTCAGCACCACATAAGCAAAAAGAAAAAAGCCAGAAGTGGTGCTGTGGCTCAAGTGGTAAAGCGCTAGCCTTGAGCTGAAGAGCTGAAGGACAGCGCCCAGGCCCAGAGTTCAGGCCCCATGACCGGACCCAAAAAAAAAAAAAATTTACACCAAAACAAGAGTATAACTGAATTGCTATACAACTATGAACTCTTTAGAAATATAAGATTAACAATATTCTATAGGGAACAGATTTTGAATAAAACATAGTATCAATGTTAACAACTTCATGAAGAACATACCTCTTCTTTACGCTTGGCTTCTAATTCTTCAAGTCGCTTTATCCGTTCTTCTTCTTCTCTCTTCTGTCTTTCTTCTTCTTCTTTAAGTTTAGCCAGAGCTTCTTGCATAGCTTTAACAGTGGCTTTGCTAGGTCCTTTTTTCTTTTCTTTCTCTTTTTCTTCCTTTTCTGTTTTCTTTTTCTTCTTATCTTTTTTCTTTTTGTCTCCTTCATTGTCATCTACCAAAAAGAATAAAGACAAAGTGCTTTAAAAAAAAGTAGGGGTTAGAGGCATGGCTGGCTCAGCTGGTAAGAGTTCCAGTCAATGTGTGAACCAGATACAGTCTGAGGCTTAGTCCAAAGGAACAAAGTAGTTCCCTATGGTAATGAGGAAAACTGGTACAATTCAAGGACTGTCAACAGGCCAAAGCTGATGCCATCAGTGAGGTAGGACTGTGGGTATCAAGGCATTTTATGCACCTTGGTACCTAGAACAGCTTAGTTTTACTCATGCTGTCTACAAAGCTGTTGTTAAGTTAAAAGGGCAATATTGTACTTCAGGAGTCTTCATCTATGGCAACCTGGGGGAGTGACTTGTACATGACAGACACTTGCATGAAGTTCTAAAGAATGACTTGATTTCCACTTAAGTTCTATAGCTACTTGCACATCTATACAAAATCTATTTTATGACAAAATAAAAAAATACACATAACTATACTACATGAACTCAAACTCACTCCTTATTGTGTTTCTCAGATAATAAAAATTGCAGTGGTAAAAAAAAAGTATCAATTTTTTGCACTCTAAGCCAGGCACTGGTGGCTCATGCTTGTAATCCTAGCAACTCAGGAGGCTGATCTGAAGATCGAGGTTTGAAGCCAGCCCCAACAAGAAAGTCATGAGACTCTTATTGCCCACCCCCCCCCCCCCACATGCCAGAAGTGTAGCTGTGGCACAAGTGATAGAGCACTATGAACAAAAAAGCTCAGGGACAACTCTCAGACCCTGAGTTCAAGTCCTAGAACCAGCACCAAGAAAAGTTTTCTGTTGTTAAGAAAACCCATTCTGAAACTAAGATTTAATTTCTATAGGAATCATTTGATCTTCAGATCAAATAAAAAGGAATTAGTTATGTTTATTTTTAAAAGCTGGTTCTAATTTAAAAGATGTTAACTAATTTTAAAATAATATTACTTTGTATTTCAGACTGATTTCATGTTTTCATAGGAAAAGACTTAAGATATTATCTGACACTCAGTTTTCAAAAAGTATATTTTTCTCTTTGACAATATTTAAGTTGTTATCTGCAAATAGTATTCATAAAATTCCACAAAACCTCCAATGTATAAATAAATTCACTGAAAAAATATTTTATACTATATATAAATGTTGAGCAATGACATAAAAAGAGTAGTTTTGGGTGGATATATTTTGGTTAAAAGAAAAAAAAAGACAGGGTTCTCACAATTCTGTCCATACAAACTTTACATTTCAGCCTTCAATTAATCCTCCTGCTTTTGGTTCCCAAGTAGTAGATGTGTGTATGTGTACCAGTGTATCCAGCTCATTAGATGTAACTTTTAAAGTCTTTTATAATTAAGGTCCTTTATAACCACGGACAAATAATAAAGTGATACTGAGGTATAATCATCACAACTTAGACTAAGCATGAACCAACCTTCTTATACCTGCTTATTACCAACCTTCTATAGCTGTCAGAGTCTCTCCTTTCTCTTCAAAGACAGTGCCAGTCTCAAGGGTTACTTTGGATTTTATACCTTCCTCTTCAGACTTCCTTTGAGGTTCTCGTTGTTTACTCTGGTCTTTTTTACCTGTTTCTAATTCTTCCTTTTCTTTCAGCTTCCGTAGTTTCGCCTTTTCTTCATCTCTCTTTTTTCTTTCACGCTCTTTCTTTTCTGCTTTCTTTTGTGCCACTGTCTTAATTTTGAAGGAGGAGTCATCATCTTCATTGCCACTCTCTACGTTAGGACCTGGTTTGTTTTTTTGATTTTTTTTCTGCCCTTTTCTAGACTGTAAAAATTCATCTGATTCATCCCCACTTTCACCTGAAGAATTTACTCTGGAACGCTCTTTAATTTTCTTACTATTATCCTCATCCTCATCTGACCCATCCCACTTTTTATTTGATTTTTGAGCTTTCCCTTTAGCTTTCTTAGAAATTTTATTAAAATCATCATCATCATCACTCCCAGAGTATATTTCTATTTTTTGTTTCACATTCTTCTTTGCTTTTGACTCTTTATCTTCCAATTCTTCACTATCATCATCAAAACTCGGTTTTTTGTTCTTCTGTCCTTTCCTTTTTTTATCTTGTTTTGATGCAAATTCTTCTTCGTTGTTTTCTGTTGGCTAAAAGTTTCCACTGTTAGAAATATTAACAAAATTATTCTAATCTCCTAAAAAAAAAAACCCTGAGATCCCCTCAGATTCAGATTCATGTGTTTCACTAAGTATACATTTTTTTAACTCTCAAAATTATTTCAAAATAGTTTTATTTTACAAACACATAAAATTGAGCCATGGACCAATGGCTCACTTTTATAATCCTATTCAGGAAGCTGAGATTTGATTGTCGTTTGAAGCCAATCTAGGCTTATCTCTAATTAACCCCCTAAAAGCTGGAAATGGAGCTGTGGCTTAAGTGGTAGAATGCTAGCCCTGAGCAAAAAATCTCAGAGACAGAGAGCCCAGACCTGTTCAAGCCCCAGAACTAGTACCAAAAAACAAATACAAACAAAAAAAAAAACATAAAATCAAACACACATCCACATCTGACATTCACATTCACATTTCAAAATCCAAGTGCTAAAACAATCAGTAATCTCCAGCCACATTTATTGACTTTCGTTAATGACATATGAAATGCTATATGAAACTATTTTCAAAATAAAGGAGAAAGGTATCTACCATTTTCTCCATTACTCTGAGGCATATTCAAATTCAAAGGATGAAAAAGAAAATTTGTAAATGTAATATGCAGTTGCAATCACATTTCAAAAATCAGTTTTATAGACATGCAAAATGCCATTAACTATCTTTAGAATTGCAAATAAAGCATCTTTATATCTTGACAAATTTTAAAATATATTATTTCTGTCCTAAAAACGTTTTTCTATTGGGCATCATATTTTACAGAAGTTTAACGTATCTACATTTACTAGTTTCCTAATATAGCTCTCAAAACCAACATTAGAACAGGACAGGAAACATAAATAGTAATAATCTGTGTCTTTCACCTTCACTGTTACAGTTTCTCTGTCAGCCTTGATGCCTTGAGCTTCCAAAGACAATTCTTCTAGTTCTTTTAGAATATCATCTTCACTAGAAAAGAAATACAACACATTTTGAAGAACTGAAATTATTAAGTGACCTCAGAATCAAGGCTAAAAAAACTCAACTGTATTTAAGTATACTTACTCAAAGTCCTGCTTCTTTTTCTCTTTTTTCTTTTTCCCTTTTGACTTTTGAGGTTCCTGTTCCTTGGCAGCACCAGCTCCTTCAATTTCTGCAGCCAAGGCATCAAGATCAATGTCATCCTTGGCACTTAAAAATGAAAACAAGGAACTAGGTGTTACTCAAAAGCAAGTAATCTATTATATGTAATTCATAGAAAAGTATCATTTTAAAAACTTTTCATACATATGTAGCACAGGTAGGAAAAAATTCACAAAGTTCTTTCACAACAATGTGAGTTTACATCTGCTTATCAACTCCCTGAATTTACTTCAATAAAGTTTCTAGATTAGTCCAATCAGGAAGAGCTGCATGAAATCTACCAAATAAAACAAAACAAAACAAAAATACCAAGTAACCAAGAAAAAGAAGTAACTCTAGTAAATACCAAAGGGATCCGTGAGAGTGTACTGAAGTTATTCAAGTATATGAAGCTATTTATAAAACAAAAATCTTAAAAGAAGGTCTCAATTCTTGATCAACAACAATAATAATAAGTATCTGGACATTTACTTTTTATTCTGTCCTTTTATAGACTGCAAAATTTCATGATTCATCACCATTTTCACCTAAAGAATACAACAGCAAAAATCCAAACCAACTAATTAGAATACAGGCAAAAAACATGGAATATCCAATTTATACAGTGGATCAGTATATCCACTGAAGAGGATATACAGACTGCAAAAAAAAAAAAAAAAGATATTCTGCATTATTCACCATGTGGGAAATGGAAATTAAAAACACCACTACAATCAAAATGTCATCCTTTCTAAAGTGTGATAATAAACAATACTGGAAGAATATACAGGAACTGAATTATCCACACTGCTTTAGAAATATAAAATTGTTCACCCAATCTACAAAAAAATATGTGTGTGTGTGCGTGCCACATCACAAAAAAAAAATTTAGGTTCATAGAGAAACTTGTTGACAAATTTTTATGGAAGTTTCATTTACAATAGCCCAAAACTTAAAAACTGTGGCTCCCAATTCCACAGAACTATTCAGCAATAAAATTTAATGAAACTTTTGACATATACAACTTCTTGGATAGAACTTGATCCAATCTTCTAAATCTTTATGCATATGTGATTCCATGAATACAATATTATTGCAAAGATAATATTTTAGAAATGTAGAACAGATTTTCAGTTTACCGCAGGTTAGGAACCACAGGAGTAGAAGTGTACTGAGGGTACTTATGTGGTGACAAACGGCCAACTTAGAAAATCCCTGAATTATGTCCTTTATCTGAACTGTGGTAATAGATATACAAATCTACATACAGGATAATGTAAAACAAAACAAAACACTAAAAACACATAAATGAAATCAAGTGAACTTGAATGTGATCAGTGGATTTCATCATTTTTTTTTGTTATTATAAATGTGATATACAGAAGAGCTACATTTACGACCCCCCTCCCTCTCTCTCAGCCGAGACCCTGGGGCAACTTAGATAGTGAAGGGTGCCAGGTGTTCCCTCCTCTCCTGGGAAATATGGCTCCTATAATAAACATGATAATCTTTCTCCAGTGCCTGCCTGCCTCCGTGTGGTCCCTTGAGATGAATGTGAAGGATCCTTTTTTTTTTTTTTTACTGCTTTCTTGATTTTATTTCAAAAGTACACAAGGTCACAAAACTAAGAGCAAGTTTTCATTTGTGAAGGATCCTTTTAATGATAACTATCATTGTGAAGTTTAAAAGTTGTTTTTGACTTAAAAAAATACAAAAGATTAAAGCTAAATAAGACAGTTAACAAAATACAAAAGACGGACTGAGAAAATACTTGCTGAATATTTGTTGAGAATATCCTGTAATGCATAAGAAATTCCTTCAATCCAGTATCAAAGCAATATATATAGACAGACACATACACACACTTTTTTTTTTTGGGGGGGGGGGGGGGTTCTGGGGCTTGAACTCTGGGCCCTGGGCCCTATCCTTCAGCTTTTCAGTTCAATGCTAGAGCTCTACCACTTGAGCCACAACGCTACTTCTTCAGCTTTCTGATTGGTTTATTGGAGATAAGAGTCTCATGGACTTTTGTCCCAGGCTGGCTTTGAACCTTGATCCTCAGATCTCAGCCTTCTGAGTAGCTAGGATTATAGGCTTAAGCCACCATGCCCAGCTTAGAAAGCAATAAATTTTTAATGGGAAAATCTGACCAAACACAATCCATGAGATGCAAGGAGGAAAAAAAAAAAACAACATGTTAATAAGGAAATGTAAATTAAAACAGATGTCATTACACAGCCACTAGAATAATTAAAACTGGGTCAAAATTTCTCTGACACTCTGAGGTAAGGGTCTACTGTCTTCCTCTCCCCTTTAATCTAAGGGATCTGGCTGAAATGATTTAAGTTTCTAGGCTTAGACCTTAAATCAGCAGGTCTTATTGAATTAACTTGCTTTTGGAATGTCCACTGTCAGACTAATGTGCATGTCCAGGCAATATGGACATACTAGGTTTATGAAATACAGGTCTAGCTCCAATTGACCACCACCAACTACCAGAAGAAGAGAAGGAATAAGGAAGACTTTAAGATGACTCCATTACATGCCCCATGGCTAGACGCACAGGAGACCCAAAACAACACACTCTTAATTCGGCAGAACCAATGCCCAGAATTATTAAAGATAATGATTTAAAATTTTCAAGCCACTAAACTTTTGAATGTTATCACAGTAATTAAAGCGTATCCTCCATTTCCTCCTCTATCTAATCCACATCAGAGCCTGAAAAAAATGATGACATGTTGCCAGACAAGCATGTATTGGCTAAATCCAAACTACACCACTCCTTTCTGCCTCCTGTCAACTTCTAAGTTGTCAAACAGAAACTACCCCAAATGTCAACATACTGAAAGAAGGAAGGCCATGCATAACCCTCTTGCTGCCCTTTTTCACTCTATTTGGTTTCATGCCATGTACCACCAACATACTCAGAAACCTCCATTTCTTCTTACCCAGCATCAACAGTTACACACACAGAGGAAGAAGGGGGAGAGGCACTGAGAGGGATAAGCACAGTAATCATTGTTAAGATAATATCCCCCACCACTTGCAACTGCTGATCCCAACAGTCCTTATTTCCTATTTCCTCAATAGTGTTGTTTTACTGTATAATCCATTAGTAAGATAAGAACTACATCTTGGGGAAAAAATAAGGAAAAGAAAATAAGTACCACAACCTTACAACTATCTTAAGAAGTTCTGATACCTTACAAGCATTGGAAACCATAGTTATTGCAACACTGTACAATGCAATGCAAAGGGTATGTGAGATGTATCATTACTTCCATAAATTCAATCCATTGTATTTTTAAGTATCAGATACATTAGGCAAAAAAAGGAGAGTACAAGATCAAGGACAAATATCATCTAGTGGACTCACCAGTACACCTAACTTCCAGTGTATTTCAGTCCAGTGTATCTCAACAATCTAGTAGAGCTTTTACAAAATACAGTATCTCAAGAATTAAAAAGTTAGGTATTTAATGATTCAGAAGCCAAAAATTCTCTCCAGTAACTTTTGGGTTATCTATTTAAATTTTAATTTAATAAAGATTCAAGATAAGTGGTGTACATTTATAATCCCAACTAGGCAAAAATAAGAAAAATTAAAGTTTAAGGAAAATAAGTGACAAGCTATGGAACAAAGTTCAGGCTTCCAACCAGTAAGTTAGACTTCATCTCAACAAACAAGCTAGACATGGTGATTCTTCCCTGTAATCCAACTACTCATTGTTGTAAATATGCTCCCCAAGAACCATTGGAGTCACAATAATATACAAAAAAATAAAGAATTCTATCAGCAAGAAGAAATTTACTACTGCAAAAGGGTGTACTATAAGCTAAAAAAAAAAAAATCTGGCAAGCAATCATACAGAGTAGACAGTCTGCTCAGATAATTATTCCTAACACAGCAGGCCTTGCCCCTCTGCCCAGATTGGTTGAGATCAGGGTCACAATCTGCTCAAAATAAGCTAGTGTGCACAAGATAAAATGTATTTACATAAGGTGATTCTGAAGTAAGATTTATATTCACAGGTAATCTCAAAGTATACCCACACCCTCTACTTGAATAGTCTAAGGTGTGTCCTAATTCCATACAAAAAAGAAATCAGTTTAAGACAAAACCTTACACTTTACAAATCCTTTTTTATCCCAAAGCAGTTCTTTTCCTCAAAAAAGAGCCCACGAACTAGGCCAAAGCAGGAACTTTTAAGCCCTGCACTTTGGTAGAAAAGACCATTTTTCTCAAATCAAGACAAACAGGTAAAAGGATCATAATCCAAGCTGGCTCTAAGCAAAATCATTAAGACCCTCTCAAAAATAACTAAGGTAAAAAAGGGCTGGGATGAGCCAGGCACTGGAGGCTCACACCTGTAATCCTAGCTACTCAGGAGGATGAGAAGATGACAGTTGGAAGCCAGCCCAGACAGTCAAGTCCGTAAGACTCATCTCCAATTAACCACTAGAAAAGCTGGAAGTAAAGCTGGGCTCCAGTGATAGAGCGCTTAGTCTTGAGCACAAAAATGTGGGGACAGGGCTGAGTTCAAACCCTAAAACTGGCACAGAAAAAAGGGGCTGGGATGTAGCTCAAGTAGACCACTTGGCGAGCAAATATGAGTGAGGCACTGAGTTCAAACTCCAGACCTGCTACCTTGTCATAGAACATCCACCCAAGCTTTTATGTATAAACTATTGCTTCAAGTTGATGAAAAAGGTGTAAAATAAACCTTCATGCAAAGAGAAGGTGCTATTAAAGCTCAAACTCATTACTTCAAGTTGAAGATTATCAGAAAATTAAGTCCTTGCCAGTACAGGAATGCTGAACTCAAAAACTGAAATACAAGCACAGTGGCACAACTCTGAAGTCCTATCTCCTTGGGAGGCTGATAGTGGAGGATCACTTGAGCCCACAAACATAAGAACAACTTGGACAACTAGCAACATGACTTAAAAGAAAAAGAAGAGCAGTAAATGGTAACTGGATGACATCATCGGCTTCCTTTCTCACACAACTTACTCAACAGCTATTTTCACAAATAACTCCCCTGCAGAACTAACCACTAAGAAAG